GTGGAGGTATAAACTGTTATTGAGCATGAGCACCTCTAGCTTTGCCTGCAGAATGACAAGGATCAATTCCGGTCGCTGTAAGCTAGCGGCATGGCAGGTGTGGTTGCAGCTTTCGCTGTCTTGTCAGTTTACAGGTGGACGCAGTGCACATACATTCTTTCTCTTAAATACAATATTTTATTTTTACACCGCCTAGCACAATGCGGGAGTATGAGAAATGGAAAGTAGTGTTGCTAAACATCTTTAATAACATCAAAATTGTTTCTGTGGCAACACGGTTTGAGGCGAGCCCAACAGCAAGCCAGGCCTGCATGGCAGGTCACGCGCCAGCCGAAAGGCGATCAAAGAAGGGGAAATAAAAAACTGGACCAAAAGGCCGCAATCCGCAACCTCCCCTACCACGTACGCCCTTGCTCCTACACAGAGTGGACGAAACCGACAACCGCTATTCCGAGTGAACAAAAACTCGTCTACACATCTCTCACCGATTTCCTCCGATCCTCCGAGATCGGTACATTCATTTAATCATCGTCATTTTCACTTCCCTTCACCCTTTTCCCCGCCTACTCTGAGGCCTGAAGGCCAGGAGGCGGCATCATAATAAACGTTTTTACAATACAATACAAAGCTCCTTGAAGACAGTCGTCCTTTCAATTCGTCCCGTTTGAACATTTCAAGGGGGAATGGGCTTCCTGCGTTGACCAGGAGGCGCTGGGAAAAGACACTTGGTATGAGTTGTTTCGGGTAGTACAAGCTTGAGCGTCTCAAAGTGTCACGCATGCAGAGGCGTACCTGTTCTGGTGTGAAACGCGAGACCAGAAGGAAAATACAAAGAAACAGCAAAAATTCGAACGCTCTCTAGCTAAGACGCTAAGAACATTAGCCACGAGATGCCGTTTCACGCGTTCCAAAGTACAAATAATAAAAAAGAAAAAATGAAAGATTCGTGACACAGATGTTCTGACGTCACCACCCAGATATAGGAGACGCGCACACTAGCCGTGTTGGCGTAAATTTGGCACTTTCGATTGTCTTGCGGTGTTGAATCTAGCCGAATTCGGGCATCCAAAGGTGTTCTTCCGTTCTTCAGCACCACACAGAAAGAACAAAGCTCAACAAACGTGCCATTAGTAGTGCGAGGCTCAATCAGGTGGGCTTGTGCTACCCAAAATGATGGCGCCACAGTTTGTTCAAGGCTTCAGCGCAGGAGGCCTATTGGTGGCCGAGTGGGCTAGCGCCCACCAGTTTGGAGCACGTGGAACAAAAGCTCGCGCTGCAAAACCAGGAATCCTGGGTTTTATCCCCACCCCTGCCCGTTTCGCTCTGGATGAGCATCGTACCGGCGTGCGGTCGTGTATCACTACTGCGTGGTGCACATTGAAGACCCCAGGCTAGCGGTTGTACTGCACTGGCTAAATTGCTCATTTACAGCGAGTGACTCGTCGCAACTTTGAAATGGCTGACCAACTACAAGCTGTATAAATATCCACACAACCCCAATTATTATGAACGTTTCAACTCCGACATTTCTATTGTTTTCTTTGTCAGTACGAAAAAAGTTACGTGAAAGTGATTTGTAACGTAAGGAGTGAAGTAATCTCTTACTTTTCAGCAAAAGTAAGTTGTAACGGTAATCCATTACATTTTAGGCTCGGTAATGTGCGATTATATTGTATGACATTTTACAGCGGAGCTGTTAAGGGCTGTTCCTCAGGCCTGCGTGTCCAGTATCAAAGAAATGTCAACCTCTGGACAGCTACCACCATCTATAAGCGACGGCGGTAACCAGGTAACCAGTCTGGTTGCCGCTGTCGCTCATCAATGGCGGCAACCTATCCAGCTATCATAGAAGAATGGATAGTTGGGCGAGTTGGTGGGAATTTACCGTTGGAAACAGCGCGAAAAATAGACGAAGACGAAGAAGAAACACACGTGACGAGCAAAGCGCACGTTACGTGTGTTTCTTCTTCGTCCTCGTCTGTTTTGCGTTCTATTTCCTACGCTCTTATTAGTTTCGGTTTGGACTGTGCACGATGGGTCGGTCGTGTTCCCTTTCTTCGGGGAAAGAAGACCGGGTGCGGAAAGAGAGACGACGGACGTACGCAGCAGCGCGAATGGGGCCGCAACTGCCGCGTGCGTCAAGCGCTTCAGATTCCCTTGCGAAAGAAGAGCAGATCGCTCGCCCTGAAAGCCACCGCCCAGAACAGAAGCTGCAGCTCCGCTGCTCTTCCTTCTTCACCAGAGTGGAAAGGCTGAAAGTTTTTTTTAAGTAATGGATTGGGTCTGGGCCGATGGGCCGCCGCCGAAGCTTTTTCCACTCTCTCTCTATTCTAGTTCATTGTACATCCACGACCAACCTTGCCCATGACTCCCACACCGTTGTTTACCCAGATTGCTGTGCTGCAAGAGCCCGCCGCTATTAAGCCGCTAGACGGCGTCGTCGGTGCCGCGATTCTCAAGGTGGCATCGCCTTAAAAAGAGAAATGTTTATAAGCATGCGGTGTAGCCCATGTCCACGGTGGAAGAAATACATTTAGGTGATGACTCTCTGTCTCACGCGGCGACCACATTATGTTGGCGCACCGAGCGCGCTTCACGCGCACGGGGATAGATGGCGCCCAAGTATAGAGGGGCTTGTGAAGGCATGTATAGAGGGCTTGTGAAAGAAATTATGCATTCTTTGTTCAGTCCCTGTGTATTGTGTGGTGAAATGATGGATTTATGTTGGCGCATCGGCACTGATTGCCTTTTCCCCCGTGCGGTGCCTGTATTTTTAAACAAGAACATTCTGATGATGACTTAACGTTACAAAAATACTCGTATAAATATAAAACTTCTCGGCATAATCTGCTGGGCCTTCAATAATTTAGAGTAATTTAGAGTAAAAAGCTGGGTCATGCTCGCACGTATTGTCAAACAGCATATTTGGTAACAGTTCCTTAAATTGTTTACACGCATTGCTTTGCTTTATAGGAGGTCGGGTGATTTTCTCCACCCTGCTCCTGCTTTCTTACTAAAAAAATAAATAAATTCTAATAATGTTACATAGGGGGGCCAAAATAATTCTTTACAGGCGCATAAAGGTTATAGCATTACAAATGGTTTATACATACAATGTCAACTTGAACTCTGAAACATACAAACCTTGTGAGCGAAAAAAAAAATCTATTTATGATGCATAGTGACTGAAATGATGACACACTCGGATGACATACTGACTGACATAATGACACAGTGACTGAAAGTCAAACAATAGTAGCGGTTATAGGACATCTATACTCTCACAATATGGTGTCACCCCGTCTTACAGGTAACAAAATACCTGACAAATAGTTTTGCTTTAAAATGTACACAAAAGCTGAATTCACTGCATTTATACCAAAGAACGCCATCTCCTACATCCTGTGTTTCTCACCCATGCTCTTGAATTAAGACGCGCGCTTCTTTGCTTATTTCTTCTTTTCTTGAGCTTGTTTGTTCATACTCATGGTAATATGCTTACTGTGTTGTCGCGTTCGCATGCTCAAGTAGTAGCGCAGCAACTGGGCAATTGTTTCTTTTTTGTGTTCAGGGAATGGAAACGTTATTGAGCATGTGTCAAGAACACTGTCAATTGTGTCCCAAACTGTCCCGCTTTCTTCAGTAGCTGGAAAGGGTTTTTGTTGGGGGGTATATGGCCTCCTCTGTTCTTCACGTTTTCAGTGCTGCCTCAGCAGAAGTGTTAATGCCGATGCTGAAAGCGGATCGGCATGCAGGGCAGCTTGTAGCTTTTTTTCATTTTCACACTCAAAAACCCAGTTACATAATATAGTATGCAGTCCACAGCCTTGGTTTCTTCAGCCCTTTTCTGTCCAGACAACTTCACATTCCCAGACTTTGATAGAAATTAGACTGCCAAGCTTGGTCTTCACTTGGTCAACGAGATGAGGAGACTAGGTAGTAACTGTCGATCGGCCCTCGGGATTGCACGATGCCACTGCTCCAGGCGAGCGTCATTCAATGGAGCTTTAAACAAGGTTCTGCGCAGATCCGGTACCCCGAATTGCAGTTGGGAACGAAGCACGTCTTTCCCATCCTTATAGCATAAGTTCTTCTTCGGGTTAAGGCTCACCTTCGTGCATGATGGTGGCACCTTTGATCGAAACAGCACCAAAGCAAAACATGACGCCAGCCACTGGCTGCACACCACCCCCACACCGCGAAAATGGTGAGCAAGCTACGCCCCTGAAACCGTGGCAGCCGCTCTTAAGTCACGAGAGCTTGTGCCGCCTAGATGTGCCCCAGAGCAAGGAGCTCGCGCTTGTGGCCTTTCCTGCGGTACATCATAAGGTGAAACAAAGTATACTCCTGGTTCGAGGCTAGCTCCGAACACGATCTGGTCGCTCGCTCCCCGCTGGAAGAGCGGCCAGAGTCATCACCTAAATGTATTTCTTCCACCGTGCCCATGTCACATTAAGAGCCAGAGTTCCGAACGCCAAGTGATAGGCTTAATGATAAACCTCGGACGGTGAATATATTCGTTCCGCAGGTGGATACATTCGTTCTCTCCTCCAACATCCGGTGGATGTGTTCGTTCCTCCTCCAACTATGCATGCACAGGTGTTCCTTTACATTTTTTAAGGCAAGTGCCAATACCTATACTTCGTTTTAGCTTAGGTTCCGACGACGCCGATGCTAAAAGAGCGAGCATGTGGCTTTGAACAGTGCTTACACCGCACGAGCGCGCGTGCTTGGCAGAGACGCTGTAAGCACGGAGCTCGCGCTTGTGAAGAGGCTGCGTCTGGACTGAAACGAAGTATAGGGGCCGCTTTTCTATAACGAGAGGAAGACGAAGAATGATATTTAGCGAACACAGTTCGGCCACGCGCCTAGTTCTACCAATGGCTTACTCCGATTTCCGACATTTTATTTTGCTAAACCGTTCGAAAACGTCGCCGAAGTCTCGGTCTCATTGAAGCGGTTTTGATCCTCGCAAGCGCAGTTCATTGAAGGCCGGCATCATGAGTTTCGGCAGGCGATACTCAATAAGCAAGCCGGCCGAGGACAACGATGAAATGCCGGTCATGGGTGGCGCCGTTCCTCGCCAGAAGGTATCCGGGAGCTGCAAATCCATCGACCGCTACGGCGACACCGACGTCGATCTTGTGCGAAATCGGTCCTACAGCGACGAGTACTTCAAGCGCGTCGCGAGAGATCTCAAGTCCATCCCATGCCTGCTACTTCTGGGCAACATCTTCGCGTTCGTTTTTCTCATCATATGGTCGAACATTGCCAAGCACCTTCTGACCTCGGCGATCGAGACAACGATGGCACCACCTATGGAGACGACTCCATCGCTCATCAGGTCCATCAGGGATCATTACACGTGTAATAAACCCAGGTGTGGAGCAGCGGGACACGCCTTGGCCTACAGCATCAACACCACAGCTGACCCGTGCAGAGACATCGTTGAGCACGTCTGTTCCAACTGGCTATTGTCGTCCGAGGAAAACTACCAGAAGGTGATTCTTGGCTCAGCAAGGCTCTACCTCGAGGACATGTACAGGGATATAAAACGCTATCTAGAAAAAATGAACATCCATGCCAATAGACCAGACGCATCGCAGAAAGTAGCCATGGTCTACCACCATTGTTTGAATGCAAAGCTTACTTTGCAAGACCTTATAAATGTTATGAGGAAATACCAGCTTCAAGGATGGCCTTTCAGTAATATTGTAGAAACAAATTTCCTTGGTCTTCTTCCGAAGGTTTTACAGAAGACGATGATAGAGCCAATACTGTCGGTTCGTACATCGCGACACTTGCAAAAGCCCTTGACAGAGAATCGTATTGCCACCCCCGACGAAGACGAGATTCTTCTGACTTTAGATTGCCCCACATTCACAATTCCCAGACATAAGCTAATCATGAGCCAGGGAGAAGCAATGACAGCATATAAAACGTACCTTCGCAGATCTATTTCACATTTTACAGGCACGAACGTCCCTCATCATGAGGCAATTTTGAAGTTTGAACTTAGCAACGCGATTATGGTAAGGAATTTGTGCCATCGACGACCGCTGAAAACGCTGTCCCTCTCAACTCTGCAATCAGAAATTCCCAAGGTTTCATGGAAATTATTTCTACAGTCTATTATCGGCGATGATTCAAGCGTGATCCTCAAACCGGAAACTCGAGTGCTTGTTCGTTCGGAAAATTATCTTCGGTATTTTGCGAGCCTGAAACAAGCTCCGAAAGATCTTCAGGCTGTCAACTATGTTGGATGGAGGCTTCTGGACTACTATGGACGCCAAACCCTAAGAGAAATGACGGAAGACCATGACGCCTTTCTGCGCAAAGCTTTCAAAGAGTCCATTGAGCCCATGTGGAAAAAGTGTCTGATGACCACAAACGACATAATGCCAATGGCCATGGGTAGAGTCTACGTAGATGCCATAATAAAAATCGACACGTTCCTTGCGGCTCAAGAACTTGTATCGAAGTTGAAATTCGGCTTCAAATACTTGCTATCTCGAGCGTATTGGCTTGACAAAGAGCAGAAGAGCAGGGCCTACAAAAGAATTGGTGATATGAAAACTATGATAGGTATCCCACCGTGGATTTCGAATGACTCGACGCTTAACGAGTACTATCAAAACTTCACCCCCCACGGAAATTATCTGACCATTTTTTCAAGTGCCGCGGAGCACACTGCGAAATTGCGCTTTCTCACGTTGGCCATACAACAGGAAAAGTATAAATTTACGAAGGCGCATCCCAAAACACCGAATGGCACCGGCGCAACCTTCTCGCACATGCTCCTCGGGGTCAACGTGAGGCATTTACATTCGTTCATCTTTCCCGCAAGGGTTGTCGACCTCCACCTCCACCATCAAAATCTGAGGCAGTCCCTCATCTATGATGTGAACGAGAACGCGCTACTCTTGCCGGCAGGTCTTCTGCAGCCTCCGTTCTTCGATCCGAACGTACCACACGCTCTAAACTACGGCGGTCTAGGTGTCTTAATGCTCAACGATATGATTCGGGAGTTTTTTCGTTTCTTCTTTAACGACAACAAGAATACTTGGCGGTCTGCCGTCAAGTGCATTACCGACCGGGTCTACCGGAAGGAAGACTCGCAGAGCGGCAGCCTGGAAGAAAGCTACAAGGTTTTCACGGTCATATTTACGATGATGACACTGAGGACCGCGTACAACGCGTACCACTACTACCTGGACATGGACGACGACTTCGTCATTCCTGGTCTCAAAGGCACAACCAACCCTGACCAGCTCTTCTTCTTGTCAGCCGTGAGGACCTTGTGTAGCCAGGTTAGGGACGAGCACAGGGCCCTGCTGATCATCAACGAGGGAGTAACGCTGATGAAAAAAGTGAAAGCCGCCTTACAGGGACTGGACGAGCTTCAGGACGCTTTTAACTGCCGCAACGAGAAGAGGAATTCCTACGTCTACTGCGTTGAGACCAAGGGAGATGCAGCGGAGGATGATTAGGAGAGGGCGACGCACGTGATATCAGATTGACACTTGACAAGGCACCCTGCGTGTCGCGTGCTTTGTAGCCCGGCGGACACGTCTGCTCTTTCAGGTAGTTCGGCGAGTCTAGAAAGACCCGTCGGCAAAGCTTTGTCGCTTTTGTTACGGACCAGTCTTCATGCCAAGATCTTGGAGAGCAGACGGACCTCACCAGAGACGATGTCGTCTGGTCGTCTGGAGATGGGTTTCAAAGAGGGCTAAAGTCGAGCTTACTACTTGTAACGTTTTATTGGCTTCTATACTCCGTTTTACACTAAGTCCGAGCGAAGCCGGTGCTCCGATCTGGTGGAGCCAGTCGAGCAGCGGCAGGAGTAACGGCTTTCGCCGTTTTCGTGCGTTTGCTGTCATCAGGCTAAACCAGTCACACACGGAAGAAAGGGCAGAATCACGGCGCTTTCACTCGGATTGGTTTAACCAGTGGTAGCAAATGCACGCAGACGACGAGGCACTCGAATTTCAATGAAACTGAGTATAAAACAAAGCTCGTTCAGTGGTGCGTGCAGTCGTTCATTTCGCGAACGGCAGCTTGGCAAAAAAATGATGTGAAATGAGTGGATATTTTTTGCGCTCTGGATCGTAACTCTTCGCTTCATTGACAGCGTGAACTGAGTAAACGAAAACGCGACGATACATTTTCGTATTGATAGATGATTTTTTTTTTAGTACGTATTTTATATGTGTGAGAAGATGTGGTCACGGGCAATAACCTAGTGCAATGAGTGCTGTGTTTAAAATACTATGAACATAGTAGAAAATATATATAAAGTACCAATCCCTGTAAAAGTCCTGTGTGCACTCGATTTCACACACAAAAAGAAAGCCATCGTGTAATACACACACAAAAAAACTAGTTTTGTGTTCATCCATTGGAGGATGTTCTGTAGACAGGTGCATCAATAGTGAGAGAATTTGAGGCTTAGGTATAATACCTGTATTACGTAGTAAAATACTGTAATGAAAGTGGTGAATAATATTTAAACAGCACCTGAAAGAAAGAAGAAAAATTTCCCAAAAAGCCTGAAGTTGCCAAACGCCGCTCACCTATTAGGTGAGCGGCGTTTGGCAACTTCCAGTTCCTTGAGAAATTTTGTTTCACTGTGGACAAACGAAGACAATGAGCTGCAAGCTTGTGCAAGCATAATTTTTTTTTTATTGCGTCAGTTTTGCCACGGGGCAAAACTGACGCAAAGCATAATTCTGAGACCTCCAAATTGTAGCTTTAATACCCAAATCACACGGCAGCGTAAAGGTACCTTTGGCACAGGTTCCTCTAGTAAAGGGGAGCTGGAGATCGTGATCTAAAGGCGCATAAAGGTCCCTTTCGCTAAGGGAGGCCCTGTGCTAAACGGAGTTCCTTTACAGCTACAGGGAGTAGCGTCGGACCCACGAACTTAAAAAAAAAATCCCAGATATATAAATATATCTTGTTTAATGCATTATAACAAATTGAATATATATAAGTAGCAAATTATGGAATGATTGTGAGTACAACTGTAATGGAATAATACACAATCGAGGAACGCGACGGACCACTGCGAGCTCTTCAGCGTGTTTCACGTGCAGCGATTTTGGCCCTAGAGTGGCACGATTTCTGCCGTCGCGACGCTCATGCCGCTCAACCGCTGGTGCTGGCCAGAGCGCCGCGACGGCAGAAATCGCGCCGCTCTAGGGCCAAAACCGCTGCATGTGAAACACGCTTTTTTCGAGGTTGTAGACTAGCCGTCCGACTCTCCCGCCTAGGACCTTTTATCCTCGTCGTCGTCCATCTCTTTCGAAGGTGTGGCTGGCGTAACCGTGAGACTGCGATGGGATTTGTTTATGCCGGGCACTATTTAGCTACTTCAGTAAGAGCTTTGCGGAAAAATGGAAAACGGAAAAAACGTCGCCCCCTCGTAATGGAAACTCGTAAACGCAGATGATTTAGGGTCCAGTATGGCCAGACGGGTCGGACGTTTTAACGCAACACTCATTTAAGTGCGCCCTTGGACTTAAAGAAGAAAAATAAATAAATAAAGTGCCGCAAAAGCAAGAACAAGTAATATTTAGGTTTTAAATGTGATATTGCACACGCAATAATAAAAACTGCGCGTCAAACCAATTTCAAGGCATAATTGCTAATCACGTGCTCCTCACGCGGTTTAGCAGGAATGCAATCACTATCAACTTAAAGCGCCCCGTTTATTTATCGTATGATCAAGAACCCCGTTTACTACAGGTACCTTCAGCTGAGGAACCTAAGCTAAAGGTACCTTTATGCTTTCAGATCATCGTCGTCGCTTTTCAACAACTAAACAAAATTTTCTAAGGAACAGAAAGTTCCCAAACGCCGCTCACCTATAGACCGATCTCACCAGTCGAAGTGTGTATATGTTTATACAGCTGGAAGTTAGTCTGCCTTAGAGGGCCTCTGGAGTCTCAGCTGCCTGCCGAGCGCTAGCCTGGAATCTTTTAGCGTGCAACGCGCACTAGTGATACACAACCGCATACCGATGCGATGCTCATCCAGATCAAAACGGGCACGGGTGGTGATTATATCCAGGATACTTTTATTCTGCAGTACGGGCTTTCGCCCCACGTAATCCGAGCTGGTGCGCGATAAAATCACTGAATCCTGAGAAAGTAACGGGAAAGTAGCCCGAAGCTCCCTCCCCCTTCGATCACCATTTTGGCTCATGAAATGACCAATTTCTTCTTGACCTCTCCGTTTGTGGTGAGTCAATCTAAATTAGCTGGTGAAAGGTAGCTTTACGGAGACGTCTCTTGTATACCGAGGTTTTGCTATTTACAGACCGGCGAAACAAGCGCACATTTTCTTTCCGCCACCACATACGGTGTCGGAACCTGGAGGCATTGAAAAATATTATTCTTGTCTTTGAATACGTAAGAAGAACACTATTAAAGAGTTTTAGAATAAGTAGCCCCAAAGTTTGGGGGCCCCAAAAAAATGGGGGCTCACCACTGCGCATGCGCAAAACCCGAACTCCGTTTGGGGTTTTAGGTTGGTGCTCGCCCACAACGTAGAATTTGATAAATCACGTAGGGCCCACAGTCACGGTCCAAAAAGCGCAACGCAGGGCTCCAGACTAGTTAAGGTGTATCCACACGACGGACCGAAATGCTGTTTTGGTCCGCGGGCCGCGCATCACGTGATCTGCTGCCGCGCTCAAGCGCGTGACTCTGTATGTTGGCCAGGAATCAGCAAGCAGATCGAGAACTGCGAGCAGTGTGCGACTACACGAATCCAACGTGCAGAGCCTCTCTTGCCATCACCTTCACCCGAGCTGCCCTGGCAGCAGCTGGGAATTGACTTGTTTCAATTTAACAGCCAGGACTTCCTACTGATCATTGACTACTTTTCACGATACCCTGAAGTGATCACACTAAGAAGCACAACGTGCTCATCAGTGGTCGAAGCAGCGAAAAGTGTAGTGGCACGCTTTGGCATTTCAGAGCTTATCCGAAGCGACAATGGCCCGCAGTTTGCGGCTCAGGAGTTTGCGGACTTCGCACGCGACTATGGCTTCAAGCACGTGACGAGCAGCCCGCGCTATCCTCAATCCAACGAGGAAGTTGAGCGCGCGAACCGGACGATCAAGGGCCTCTTCTCCAAGAACGACGACCCTTTTCTGGCGTTATTGATCTTCAGAGACACCCCTGGGCCGTCTGGGTTCAGCCCCGCACAGCTGTTGATGGGACGACGGCTGCGGACCAGCTTATTGAAGCCGTCGGAGAAGCTGAGACCCGAGTGGCCATCGACGAAGGTCTTCCTCAACAAGGACAAGGCAGATAAGCGTGCTACAGGCGAGGATGTCTGGGTCACGGACGTCCAGTGTGGTGCCAAGGTTCTGAGCGAAGCACAGCGACCACGTTCTCACGTGGTGGAGACACCCCGAGGAGTTCTGCAGCGGAACCGGAAGCATCTGGTGCCGTACAAGCCTCCAGTGGTGCCTGTTCCAGAACCTCCTGATCTACGGGAGTCGGACGAGTCACTTGCTTATGGACCTCTTGGTCTGCAGCGGCGGACTCTCAGCTGTCCAGCAACCCCTGATGTTGTCAGTCAGAGACCCTTGGATCCTGAATCTGAAGTAGTTCAGACGTCTCGATATGGACGGGCGATTAGTCCGCCCCAAAAGACTCAACCTATAACGACGGTCTGTGTTACGAGAGGGGATGTACTCTTTCCAACGTTGTGGTGTTGTTGTAGTGTTGGGAAGAGCTGATGGTTTTAGGGTTTTAGGTTTTAGACGTCATTTGTATCTTCGGTCTTTGTTAGAAGGAGAGATGTATAGTAGCGCCACTAACCTAGAGGGCGCCACGTGTTTGTTAAGTGGGTTATAAATAAAGCCACCGGGAGCGAGCTGCTTCTTCTTCGTCACCGGCTCTCGGACCCTGCGTGTCGTGTTCCACTACAGGCACAAGCCACAACAGCTCGTGAAGCCTTCTTGGCGTCCATATTCGAATCGAAAATTATTTCCAGTCGTTTTCTTTCTTTTTCTTTTCGGCTCTTCTTTTTACCATACGCAGGAACCCTCGAGCATCTTCCACAGCTGTAGCTCGTGCGTACTAATCGGACTGGAAAAAGAGCAAAGGCCCATTCGTGTACGAGAACCGTAAGAGGCATATAAAAAAAGAGAAAACCGCTCGTGCAACTAAGTGTACAACGAGCAGTTTCACGCAATCGGCTCCCGGGCTTGTCCGTGGACGACAGTGGATTCGAAAAAAAGGAAGAATTGGATTGCGTTCAAAACCCATGTAATCGTGGTCCGGCAGGTCCACGGACATATTCTGTGACGTTCGCCCACGTGATACGCAAGATACATCAGGTCCGAGGACACGTTCTTCAGGTCCGTGGACATGTCGCTTGGTTTTACCTGCTGTTTTCGCCCAATGTTATTAGAACCAATTCAGTTCTGGAACTCCGCTCCGGAGGGGGGTCCCTTCGCGTGGCGCCTGTTAGA